GCAAGTTCCTCCTCGTCCGCACTAGTATTTATACAGATTTAAATGTTTAATAATAGAACGTTAGCTTTCTATTAATAATATCTAAATATTATATATTAACTAAGGGGAAGAGCGCATACTGTGAATATTTGAAGTTTTTTGGAATTTATCTTATCAGAATTTATTGTAGTCTTAATCTTGAGCTGGCTGTTTCATGAAATTTTAATTTATGTTTAATACTTGGTTTAGAATAGATTAATTTAATCTAATTACTTTTCGAAACCGTTACAAGGCATCTTTATTCTAATAACAGCCTAGAATGGCAATCTGTTTACCATATTCTAGAGTGTATTATGCTATCGGAGAGCAATTCACATGATTAAAGTGACCTATGCTACAATAATCGACTATCTGATTTGTTGGCATAGCTAAGGGTGATTGAAATTAGATTCTACCGTAATAGATATAATATTAGGGTAGAAACTGCAATTACTAATATAGTGTATAACAGGAGAAAACTCATACTTAGGGGTACCTACTAATAATCTTAGTATTTACTTTGGCTCTGTAAAGAAGTTCTGCATAACCATAATGCTCCATTATAACATTGTCACAAAACAGCTTTGCAACAAGATAACGCAATATACGATCAATAAGTCAATTCCTTGAACCACGTATCAAGGAACGATATCTGCACTATCACAAACACTTTTGCTCTACTAGCAGACTACACAAAGACTTAAACGCCTCGTATTTTACGTTAAACACTAAGTTGGACAATTCTTCTTTATTTCACGATATACTGCATTTATATACTATTCCTCAATAGTTCATGAGTCATAGTTAATACAATTAACATTAGAATCATTTACTGAATTAGATATTAATTTTAGCTACTGCTCCCTTAATGCAGACAACAGTATTTACGAACATAGACATGTAATGACTAATACAGAATAGTCAGATTACGATATGTCCTATCACGGAACATTTCCATGATAATTTACAGTCTACCATAAGTAAATTACAATCACAATGATTCGAACTGTAAGCAGATGATTTGCATTCCCTATTATAACTATTATAATTTCAGTATGTGTATAAGTGTCACTGTCATAAAAAGTCAGTGCTATATTAAAATACAGTATATCCAAATTAGAAGTTAACTAAATAAGGATAGTCTAACAGAATTATCCTAACATAGTTATTTCTACTGTAATACAGTATTTAACACTGTAACAAACATCTACATCGAAGTAAAATATTTTAGAGTATCTTCTATACAAAGTTCTATAATGTGAATGTTTTCACTCCGAAAATGTTTTAAATCTAGCAACGTGTCCCTTTATGTTGCAGTAAACAAGATTGTATCATGATCGAGAAGATTGAAATAACTAATATGTAACTTGAGTGCTAATTGAGTGCTTTAGTTCGACAACAAGAATAGTTCAGTTGAAATTTAACGAGCACAATTCTCTATTTAAAAGCAGTAGTCTATGGAAGGGTTATCATTCATCATACTGGAAATTAGATATAATCAGATGTAGTAAAGGACTAAAAGTGGAGTCCTTTATAGCTTTAGTTCGAGACTATTATTGCTTTACTATAGGAAATACCTTGAAAGTGGTAGTATTATTAAGTTTTACCCTGCCAAATCATGATGTGGCCATCTTTTCTTCTTCGCTATTTTACAAGATTTTATATGGAATACTATAGGAATGACCTAAGAGCAATCTCCTAATCTAAAGAGAGGGGGTTTGATAGTCTATTGGGATTTTAAATGAATTTGTCTCAGTAATAAAGCCCTATATATAGAGAAAGGGGATTTATTACATGACATTAAAGTACTGTAATGTATAGTACTGTATAGTGATAGAGTCACCTTAAAACTTCGTTCTAAAATACCAACAGCCAATACTAATGTTAGAAAAGTAATCATAGTTGTCATATAAAACTTTTTATAAAACTTAAAATATTTTAAATATTTGGCAAATTCAAGAGCTTTTCTAAACTTATTGAAGGCGGCTTTAAATTCTAGTGAATTCGTTTCTTAAATTTTTGCAAATGTTTAATTTTTGGATTAAAAATGCAATTATGCATCAATATGGTTATTAACGAAAAATGTCGATAGTTCCACATCACCTTATCAACATAATTGTTCTTTTTTCTGTCTTATTAAGATTCTTCGATGATTTTAACTCAATTTTTATTTATAATCTTGGAATTACGGAAAGATGGATATCATTCATGACTTATATGTTACATTGTTTATTTAGGGTGCGATCTTGGAGCACTTACTAAGGATTCAGCGTTTTATAAATGGTAAATATTGCATCATCGAACTGGAATCTGTCAGAAGACATTATCGTAATCAATACCACGGTAGTTGAAGATATTGAATCTTTATTGACACACTATAACTTAATTGTTGCTTAACTATGATTCATTGAATAAGCAACTGCCTTAATACTAAAATCAGTAGCGTATTACATGAATTCCTATCTCCTACTTCAAGTATAGCCCTCACTCCGTCCAAGGTGATCAAGGCCGAGGTACTATACTTACAGCAAATACAATATGTAGATGGTCTAATTCGTGCAAATTACAGTACTATATTTTCGTAATAGTTGAACTAAATTCAGTTTTCAATTTGATTATATCTGCATATAAGAGCACGTGATTATCAGGGGAAATGATTTTCGGTAAAAAAATGCATTAGATAGCATAGGATATCGGTCTGTGCGTTTAAAATTTACTCACAGAATATGGATTCACCCTATCCTATTTCGCATATTGTTTGGAGAAGTAAATAATATATCGTTTTGCATGTAGTAATGACATTTAGAATAGGTAGTATTGCTTGTCTTTATTGAAGTCTATGTTTCTAGGTTAGACTACTAATTAAAATCAATGCTTGGATTATATCCTAATCAATAGGGGGGTATAAATTACATATCCAGCTTTTTATGTGTAATTATGGCCATTGGATGATTTATTGAAGCATCTCAAGTATGACATAATCATATAGTATTTTGTATTTATTGTAACCTATGAACGGAATTCATGCGATATTATATGCAGCAGTAGCATTTAAACTGAGAAATTAAAAACATTTATTATACAATGATGATATTAAATATGCATGATTGACTATATAAACAGCTATTGTTGTTGAGTTGTACTTATTCCGAAGTACAGTATAGCATCAGTTAGTTGTCAAGACTATTTCTGTACCAATAGTATATCAACAAGTGACTCAAATACTACTAGAAGTAATACAAAATAGCATCATCTTGTACTTCCGTAATTAGCAACCTAAATTTCTATATAGTTACTTACCAAATCTTATCGTAGCCGATACTGACATAATTCAAGGAATGCAAAATGGCTATTTCTTAAATTGTGAATTATAATCTTTATTAATGATATCAGTAATGCATCATTTAAAATGTATTATTGAGTTGTATAGTGATCAGGTTTTTATACAGAGTTTGAATTTACAACGATAATATCACGAATCTGTGGGATTCCCTTAAATAGATTAATCTATTCTACCTGATTTTATGAATGTAAGGACGCAATTTGTCAGAAATAGGTATTATGTAGTTTACTATTAGTAGCTAAAGATACAATAGAAGGTGTAGCTGGAGATTTCACCAACTATAATTATGAATCGTACGAATAAATCCCCAGATAAAGCTCATTTCCCCTTTGTTTGTTTACATATCGCAATAGGGATCGTCTATCAGATCGATATATTATAAGAAAGAACTAAGATAGTTTTTGAACAATTTCAAAGTACAGGAATTCGCTATAATGTTCAGAAGTAAACTGCAACAACATTCGAGTACTAATTGATGCTTACAAAATTGCTATTCTATATTTCTATAAGAATATTGTTAGTATTATTAATGTTCATCCTATATGCACATATTAGTATGATGTCGATTTAACCTTTATATTAAATTATTAAAGGGCGTACTTACATAATTCAAAAATATTCTTATAAGTAAAGTGAATAAACAGAGTCCACTTTTATTACCTTCTTTGACCTATCTATAAATCGCGGTTATTACGTCATTTAAGCATTTTACCAGTATTGTTTATAGAATCCGCCAATTAAGTTAAATTTACTGGCGAAAAAATAATCTGATCGAAACAAAGCTACTTTACTTCAATACAGTGCAGGTGAGTAAAATTCAGGTTTTTGTAATTACTGGCCAAAAGTTTTCTAAATTTACTAAAGCTATTTCTATGTCGATAAGTAATAGAAGCCTTTAACCGCAAGTACTATTTTTATCTATTGTTTATTTATTCTTCTATCGTGGGTTCTGTTTAAATCTCTGTAATAAATTTAAATTTATGCTATCTTATAAGAATCATTAAATTTGTAAAAACATTAGCAAAAATATAAATATAGGCGCACTTGGAGTTGGTTTTCAGAGAACCTACTTTGAAATCACAAGCTTAGTATCGAAGCAACTGTTTTAATTTTTATAAAAACCAAGAAAAATTGCGGTAAGTCGATAATATTCGAAAGATTTAATTCGAATTCATCTGATATTGATTTTATAGTATTAAAATTCACCATATAAGTTTGGAAGACTTTGTTAACTATTACTTAACATGATGAAGTTATTATGATTTATTTGCGGCATTAAAAGCTACACTGATTTAATTATGTAACGACCATAAACTAATTTATACACTTTGCATATATATTTTAAAATTGTAAAATTAGGGTATAAATTCAAATCCTGTTCATATATCACTATTTTAGTAGTCACCATTTGTACTCCACTTTCTTTGATAGTTTTATAACTTCTTTCTAATATTTCGATGTTATAGCTTGCACACTTTTGATCGTTTAATTTATTTAGTTAGCCTGTTTAGAAATTATTTCTGTTAGCTGTACAGATTCGTGTATTAAGATAATTAATAATAGTTTTTGGTCAGAAAATCCGGAACAGCCTGCTCTAATGTTTTATTGGCGACAAACTTTTAGATCTAAAAAATTCAAAATGAGAAAAAGAGTAATGACGGACTGGTTGAAGGAAATACTCGAAGAGAATGCTGTGGAAGGAATACATTACGTTAACGGGAGCAAGGATACCTTTGCTATCAAGTGGGTACATGCTTCCAATAAGAGCTATGACCCTGATTGTCACGGTGCTATATTTAAACGTTGGATGAAGAAAAGTAGAAAATTAGATAAATATAAGTCAAATTATAGTATGTGGAAGACCAACTTCCGCTGTGCTATTAATTCTCTTCCGGACGTCATGTGTTTGAGCGCCACAGATAGTCAATTTGCTGATGATGATAAATATAAAGGTTACAAAATATTCCAGTTTGTTGATGAAAAACTGAAATCTCAGCGTAAGTTATTTGTATATCACTTTGATTGCGAGAGAAATAAAATGATTAATTTTTATCGTAATTAATATACCTGCTATATATAATTCGTATTTTGTCAACATAATTTTAGCATATCTCGAAAAAAATGGAACAAATAACTTGAAATATACAAATATATATGAGTAATAATTAGGCTTTACTTTTGCAGTTATAACGAAGTCTCGGAATCGTCAAAATCAAAATCGCAAATTCAAGTCTGAAAGAAAGGTAAAATAAATTCAATATTTGTATTCTACTGCTATCATAATATTCAGTTCAATAGACTATTCCCCCGAATTAGTCTATCTTTCTAGTACTTTGTTGTATGTTGATGAAGTATTCAATCTGATAAAAAGCACTTAATATTCAAAATCAATACAATTCAATCAAAATTTAACTATCGGTTCGTGAATATTGAGTGTAACCTAGGATAGTTGCGGGTATTAAGATAAACTATAATTTTGCACAAGTTATGTTAGCGTGTATCGATTAATAATGTAGCTATTATTACAGTTAAATACTTGTCTAGATAACTAGATTCAAGTGAGAGCCAGATGGTCTTAATTATCGCACTAATTCATATTAGTCGCAAAATTTGATAATAATTTTGAACTAATAAACCGAAGTTCATATTTTTTCTGGATGATAATACTATAAATTTGAGTTTGGTTTAAGAAGTCAAGGATAAAATCTCCATATAAAGACTTACTAGAAACTTAATAATCAGTCATCATGGCAACACAATGTCTTTTTCTAATATGTAGTCTATAGTGTTGCAATAATTTCTAAAATATTTCAATTAGTTATCACATGTAACTAAATCAGGTAAAGTATAAAGGATTAAAAATTACATTGGAGTTATTTTACGCAAAGGTAGATAAAGTATCAAAGGGTGATTGTCAAAAATCAAATATTCCTGTATCAATTCTTTAGGTATAGGTGTTAAATCCTCACCGATTGATTTTTATTGACATATCATATGAGTATAATAGGAGCTATTAAATCATGATAGAGAGAAATGGGAATAGATTATATTATTAGAACATAATAATATTGCTCAAGTTACGAGTTTAAGTGTACTTTTGACTAGTGATTTGCTGTTTTGTATGTGGTTGGATTTGAAATATCTTATTAACATGATATTTTTCAAATTGAATGTAGGCCTGCCATTTAGATAAGTCAGGAAGATGTTCAATGGGTAAAATTAAGATGACTATCCAATAATTTACTAATATTTAAATTAAAGTAAAGACAGAGCTCAAATTTTCATGCTATAGTGTTACCACTTTGTATCTGTGTAAGCTTACAAACAGTTCTCACAATTAGCAAGAAGCAGTGGATATCTCCAAAATTGCCTGATTACTACCAGCTAGTAATCATACTGTATATTATAATATCAATATAGGTGATTTAGACTCAAATGCGTCAAGTCCTCATGAATCATTATCACCGGTACAAACACCACCACAGTCGTCAGAGCTCTTGGCAAGTTCTTTTGGCTATACCGTATGTTCCAATGATGACAGACACTATTCAGGTTGATAGAATTATTTTCATTGCTGGTATTTTTTAAATCTATAATTATATAATGAAAGTTAATTATTAGTTGCGTAGAAGAACACTAGAATTAGACTGATCGGTTGAACAGTGAAATATTGACTTGTAAATTTTAATTAACTCTATAGATTAGGAAAATAACATTTTCATTTGTGTATTGTTTCTTATTAGGAGATAGTCATTTCTCAAGGGATGAAGAATATTGGGTAAGAAAAGAGATAATAACTTTGCTTTTAGAATTGGCGATATCAGTATTTCTAAGTTATTGTGATCAGAGTTTATGCGGTATCTTACTGTTCTATAAATATCTTGTAAGTTACCCATAACGTACTTCATTATCACTTAGCTCAGAATACGAGTAGCGACTACCAGAAACCCAAAATAAAAACATTAAGTCGATTATTGAACAGAAAATAATATTATTTCTGCAGTAAAGGCGCTTTTACGGTAGTGAATAATTTAAGTTAGACCGTGCTAGTGATTCATTTACTATGTAATAGTTTACAGAAATACCACACGTAAGTTCTTACAAGATTTCTTCATACTTAGAGTTCAGTGAACCAGGCTAATAATTTGCTGGTCTACAGTAGCATAAATAAATGATATTCTTTTTAATTGGAGTAGAGGGTTATTAGTTCGCAATTTCGAATTTATTTATTAAGCCTAGTAAAAATTTATAATTAATTGATTATACTCTTACCTTACGATATTTTGATTCATTTGATCATTTTTGTATTACAGTGATAATTAACTATTTTCTTAATATACGCGTGTTTACGTTGTCTATTGCATTTTATATTATTAGCTTAGCAGTTTCTTGATGTAATGCGACATTAAAATTACTATTATGGGTTGTCTTGTGATCGAAATTGATGAATCTCATATCTGAAAACTCTTCATTTTTAGACTGATATTAGCGCTGTTCTCTCATTAAATGAAAAAGGGGATAAAATTAAAAATGATTATAATTTGAATGAAACTGCTCTATCGGAAATCAACCAGTGGGATGAAAATTTACGTGATGATGTCTACTTCGGCGGTTGGATGTATAGCGCACGGACATTTCCAATGTAATAAGATTCATTCAGCTCTTCTTATATCGTGAATCTATGAAGCATATTCTTCATAAAGCTTGGATTAGATGGATTCACTATAACAGTAATCGTGCCTTTTGCACCTTTACTTGTCAGTAGCGTTGGTATCGTTAGCTAGCCCTACCCGAATCTATCAAATACTAATTCTTAAACTGAAAATTCGAAATGGGAGTCACATAAACATGGTCTATGATCTTTACCAGAACTTAAAATTTTTAGAATAATTTCTCATGCGTCATTGCTTAAAAATTATGATTAATTTTCGATAGATGCATCAATTTGTAGATCATTTATAAGTTTAATACAACTTCCATGTTCGAACCTTGTCAGTAAAAAATGACCTTGATTGGTGTTGTAAATATCAAACCGATTTTTTCAGTTTTATTCTGTTTTTAGTATTGTTATTAAGAATATTCTGAATTGAAATTATTTTTTAACCATTTTCGAGTATTCTTTATAATAAGAATATATCCGTTTTCGTAACTACGATACTGAGCTGATCAAAATCAATATTGATGTACGAATTCTGGCCTCGAACGATTACCTTCAAATGATATCTAACGGGGGCTATCATAACCATGAAAAGATAATGTAATTGGAAATTTAATATTTTATTCAATAATGTAATTAATTGATGTAATCAGTTATATGATATAATCATAATAGTGGCTTTGTCTACTGTATACCTATGTAAATGCTAGTATGCTTATAAATAGCTTACGGCTTTATCGAATAATGGCTAAGTGTAATTGAACGTGGAATTGTAAAAACGATTCATCAGTGAAACTTAGTCATGCCACATTTAGTACATACAAAGTTCAGCCTATAACATTAAAATAAATGTTATTGCAATATTCATAAACATCACATTGGAAATTAATTACAGTGAAATATTACCTTTCAGAAAATTTCCTTTAGGATTATTTTGTTTGCAACCTTTACTTCGACATCCTTAAATTGATTTTGATGGTTGGATAGCTTGAAATACGGTAAAAATTATTTTATGGAAAGTACGGATATGCGGAATGATTAGTGGACCATTTATGAATATTTATGACAACTGGGGAAAAGTAATTACTGTCGGTATAATTAGGTTATGTTAGTAGTTAACCATGTGATGATTTGACTCCTATTTGTAAAAAAGCTGACAACATAGCAAACTCCCTATCACAGTTGGCCCTGCATGGTGCCATGATCATATATTTCCGTCGGCGTCATGCATCAATAGCGCTGTAGAATGTAGAGAATATGCAAGGTCCTATACTTACAGTCCTACTAACTATCTCCGTTCATCTCGCTGGTGTCCGTGACCCTAAATATAAATCACCAGGCAGGCCTACACAAACACACTCCATGCAGATTAATGCCGGTAATTCTCTGCAGAATCTTTCCGGGAATGTCCATTATAGCAATCCAAACGTATCAATGTTTGCTTTACTAAAGCTGGCCGTGCATGAAATTGCGATTAATTAAAGTACTGTATTTTGATCTATTTTACAACTAATGGATATACTGCTGCTCATCTCCGAATCAACTCTGCATTTTACGAATTCTATTCCATTTAATTACGTATGCAAATGAAGGAAGCGGAACTGAATAAAATGATTTTAATTTATAAAAGTAGCTGCTCCAAATACTATTCAAGATATCTTTACAAAAAGGTTTTAAAGAACGCTACATTGATGTCACTGCTCCATTTGACTGATTATATTTAATAAGACGGGTTGTTAGAGTTACATAAATTTAAAATTCAGCATTAGGAACGATCCAGTGAATTTCTTTCTTTTCCTTATGGTTAGATAAGAATAAAGCCGTTTATGACACCATAAAAGCGAAGGGTAGTGAATTGGTTCCATTTTAGGGAAATTTGCTTAATCAACATTACTCTTGAAATACGTAACAAAATATTTGAAAATGATAACTCAACTCAAGAGTGAAGCTGATTAAGTAAATTTCCGACTAATTTAAGCCATCATTCGGGCATTGGCCAACTTCAGGGTTTGTCTATAGCTGACAGATGCGGTACGAATGACGACGATTGAATGATTGAAGCAAAATGCAATCAATCCACAACAATTTGTTGATGACCATTGTGGTAAGATTACAAAACTATATCAACTTAGTGTAAAATAGTTACATCTAAGGAATTTCTCGTAATATTACTCTATGCCAGGCCATGAGATTCTAGAAAAATACAATTTGAAAATCTCTGTGACATAGCTGGAGTAGGAATTCAATGGGATTTCATCGAACTCCAGTACTGATGCAGTCATACTAATGTTGTAACCTACAGTAGTAACTACTATGGAAAAATATCAGAGTGCTCGGTTGGGGTCGTGAAATTCAATCCAATAGCGAGTTGAGTTGTGGACTTGTGGTTGATTCTGATGCTGCAAAGAAGAACCGAGTTGGTTCAGGTTGAGCGAGTGGCGGGTGGAAATTTTTGGTGATTTAAGGTTGAGTTTAGTTTCAAGAGCGTATATTGCCTTTAGGATTCAAGCTGGATCTAGGGGTTCATCTCGTCATTTTGAAGCTCTCTGCTCCCTACTCGTATATAGTAGTGAATAACTAAACTCCTATACTGTACTTTGGATCAATTCAATCTTTCCCCTTCTTAGTAGACCCGGACTACAAAAGACTATGGTCAATATACAGTAGCAGTCCACGATTGCAACGATCGTTCAAGAAAATGCGCAATCTAGGATTACTGTACTGTACTGTATAACTGTAGAATCACAACCAACGATTTACACTGTGGGACACGGATACCTAATTTTGGCCGATGAGATGTGATTTCTTGTTTTTGGTAACTATACCCTACCGAATGAGGTCAAAATATCGAAAAATGAATTGCTTAGTATGGATCTTCTGCATCTGTTTTTCGTTTATTTTTTTTATTTTATTTTATCCTCCAATGCGGTACTCATGCACTAGAATACTAGATGCACCTGGCTAGGAAATTCGTCAGACAGACAGACTTTTTTTGATACCAAATGAGGCCCAAAAATGGAAAAATGAATTGCTTAGTATGGATCTTCTGTATCTATTTTTCGTAATCATGGCTTGTAGTAATTATAATTGAAGAACATTCATAACTTAATATAACTATTTTGAAGTAGAACTTGGTAACATAGAAATAGATTTCAATATCCCTCCCACCCTAAACTAGCATGACTTGATTTAGAAAAGAAACCAATCACAGAATGGAGCAAGCGCTTAATGGCTTTAGTATGCCAAAAAGCCTGGAGTTGAAAATCCTCTTGACTACTGCACCATGTACAGTGTACAGTACAGCAGTAAATGACAAAGGAGCGTTTGCTACCTACCCACTTACACTTCCTTGTATCACGATGACGATAGAGCTTACTGTACAGTGAGTGTATGCACAGTAGTACAGTGGCGCAAAAGGGACAACTTTTACGGAATAGAATCTGTACAGGAGTAAAAAAAGAATTTCTACCTATTTTGGGCTAGCATACAGTAGGCCTAGCCTATTGTACAGTATGGACTTGATCATGAACATGATGAATGGGGATTAAGGGTACACAGTACAGTACAGTAAATTGTTAGCAAAACGATGTCACTATTAGAAAGTACGGCACTGTAAATTGTTAGCAAAACGATGTCACTACTAGCAAGTACTGTAGAGTACTGTACTGTATATTGTTAGTAAAACGATGTCACTACCAGCAAGTTGAGTACTGTAAATTGTTAGCAAAACGATTTCACTATTAGAAAGTACGGCACTGTAAATTGTTAGCAAAACGATGTCACTACTATCAAGTAGAGTACTGTAAATTGTTAGCAAAACGATGTCACTACTAGCAAGTAGAGTACTGTACTGTATATTGTTAGTAAAACGATGTCACTACCAGCAAGTTGAGTACTGTAAATTGTTAGCAAAACGATGTCACTATTAGAAAGTACGGCACTGTAAATTGTTAGCTAAACGATGCCACTACTAGCAATTAGCAAGTAGAGTACTGTAAATTGTTAGCAAAACGATGTCACTACTAGCAAGTAGAGTACTGTATATTGTTAGCAAAATGATGTCACTACTAGCAAGTACTGTACTGTACTATACAGTGTACAGTACTGTAAAGTCATTCTACAGTACAGTACTGTACTGCACGTACTGTACATTGTACAATGTACAGCTTGGATTACGACTTAGGCGCTTGCACCTACAGCTTATATTAATTAGCAGCGGCGAGAAAGAAGTTCAAGTCTGTCCGTTGTTATTTCGAGATATCTATTTGTTTATAGAGGTAATTCATTTTATCAAGGTAACAGAGCTAAGTAACTTCCATTATTGCATCCCTGCATGACCATTTTATATGATACAGCCATCGTGGAAATTCAATCTTAGTCTGCTATAAATTGTTCAGTAGTATCGTGCGTCATACAACCATTCAATGGTTGAGTACTGTATCGTGGACTACACTAATGTACAGTACTGAATGGACAATGTTACCTCATTTATTAATCATTGAAAACTCAATGGTTAGGATAAATTATTCTAGGGATACTTGCTCGATCGATCTGATCAATTGTTAGCTTCAGCATTCTTCTGAGTAATAGGAGTCATTTCATCAATATCCAATATTCTTCATTACCTTAATCGCTTACTGAAGTGATCCATTTAGAATGTTAATGGTATTGTCTTTCGTTGGACATTAGAAATTGCAGCTTGGTGAAGCGGAGAATGTGGTCTGAATATCAACGTTAAATTAGCCCAACGTATCCACTGTCAACATAATACAGCAAATCACTGCTTAAATTGCTACTTATCCTATTGAAGGTATTGAGCTGACCATAGCTTTCAACTTTACCTTTGGAAAATTGATCGGCCACATGCTTAATAACAACAATTACCCTAGCCACAAGTAACGCAAATTAATCATTGCTATCCACTAGCTACTACAATCAATCGTTTTACAATTCAGCAATGGGAGTTCCTGCCTTTTTCCGTTGGCTATC